CGAAGGCTCAAAACATTCTTAAGGATCCATCCCACCTGGGACATTCTTTCTTTGAACTATTACCATCCGGCAGACGGTACAGGATAATGAAAACAAGGACCAATAGGCTGAAGAATAGCTTCTATCTTAGAGCTGCAGCTATATGTGTTCTATGGTTTTTATATTTTTAAAGCTGCACTGGGGTGGCATTTAATTTCATTGTACAAGTAGTATAATGACAATAAAGATTTCTATTATCAAATAAATAACATAAATCCATGATCCATAGAGAAAAATGATGTGGAAAATATATTTTAAAAATCTACTAAAGAAGTAAGTAAAGAGAAGGTATTATACACACACAAATTTACCATATATCAAAAAGTTCATTGCTTTTGAGATAAACTATACAATTGATCCAAATTTGATAAAATTGTGGTTCCTGCCTTTGATATATCATTTTAACTTTGTGATTTTTTTCCTAATGTAACAATTGGAGACCTTATTAATATACATCTCAATTGTTACATTATCTAGAGTTTTCCAATGTTGGGCAATTTTATTTTAACTGCAAAAATTAAGTAGATAGTAAATTCCTTACTTCTAAGCTTGAGATTTGGTCCTATAAATAAATGCGGTAATCTTTGTTTAGTAGCGGTGTTTATCCTTGCTGGTGTTTCATTTATATTTTCTTGAAAAAAAATTCTCAAGTTTGAGCTAATCGTAGCTGTGCTGCTTCATTGTATAATAATATAGGATTAAAATGTCAGTTATAAGTGAATTAGGTAATCTCATCTCATTTGAACGTAAGAATCACTGGAGCGTCATCTAAGTATTGGTACTATATTAATTTGTTGCAAAAAACTTGAGAAAGTTTTAGATATCCATATGTAGTCTGTCCTAGAATGGGATTTATGTCTACCTGAATAAATTATATGTCCTTTTGCTACAGGATTCATAATTGCCCATGCAATTATGTTATAAATCTATAACTATGCATTAAAATTTGAAATTTCTTAAACATTCCAGTCTGAGGTTTTAACGTATCAGTACTGAAGTCCCCTCCTATTATAAAATTCTCTATGCTTTTTTTTCTTCTATTCACATTATTCTGTAGGTAACCAGTGTGACCCTGATTAAGAGCATATATAGAGCTAGAGTTAATATTTTGTGGTCTAATTTCCCTTCTGTAAATATGTAACTACCTTTCCAATCTTTTAGAATCTTTTGAACCTTGAAATTTATGCCAGCTTTGACAAAATGGATACTCCCCTTGATTTATTAGATCCTTGCATGAAAAACTGCTTGTCAAAATATCTATCATTCAACCTATTTGTTGTATATGTTTCTTGTAACACAACCACACATGGCTTAAATGATTCAACATGATTAACAATCTTTTTTTCTTGATGGGATCTCTCAGACCTCTAACATTTAGAGAAATACTTAGAAAATATTTCTATTATTATTATTATTAATATTATTATTATTATTAATATTATTATTATTATTATTTCTA